AAGCTTCTTTCTTCAATGTCACCTCTCCCATCTTCTCTTCACCGGATCGATACGACACAGGCATTCGGAATATGAATACGTTCCTTCAATTTGTTCGGAGAGATATCATAATGCCAATCAAATACAAAATACATGTAATCTGCAATTTTGTCGGATATCCATGAATCAGATGGCTGCCATGCAGATCGTATGGTATCATTCCAAAGACACCACCATTCCATCCTCAAGCCTCCCCGTCGTCTGAGGTGCATTGCTTTCTGTTACAAGGCGCGCTGATCCGCAGAATGGTTCTGTTTCCAATCCAATCTCTACTATGATCAGCACTCTTTTACGTGTACCCGTCTGAGCCTTGTCTCCCTCGTTACCGCATTTCCTCCTCTTGCTTTCTGGTTCGACAATTGACGGGACTGTGGCAAACCATGTTCTACCTGCCCTCAAATGCAAGACCAGCCATTCAGTGTTGGAGGTTCAAATCTTTTGCGAACGCCGATACCATGCACAGGTTGACATCCAGATCCTGTGACACCAGCCCTGAAATGACGTCGAACAAGTATTTCGGGGCAAGAGGAGAGGACAAGCTCTTGAACTCCGCTCCACCTTTCCACCTCTGCTTGTATGCACAAGTCGGCCCTGCGAATGTGCCGTCCCTGCCCTGTATATCTTTGTTACGTGTATAAAAGCCCAAGACAGCGGAGCTTGTCCTTCTCCCTCAGCACATCCTCCCCGCATGTCTCTACAACATACCGCAGCACCTCCAAGTGCCCTCCGAGACTCGCCCAGCGCGCGCATGTCTTGCCGTGCTTGTCCTTCTCCCTCAGCACATCCTCCCCGCATGTCTCTACAACATACCGCACTACCTCCAAGTGCCCTCTGAGACTCGCCGTATGCGCGCATGTCCTGCCGTGCTTGGCCTTCTCCCTCAGCACCTCCTCCCCGCATGTCTCTACAGCATACCGCAGCACCTCCAACTGCCCTCCCTCACTCGCCCAGTGCGCGCATGTCCAGCCGTCATTGTCCTTCTCCCTCAGCAGCTCCTCCCCGCATGTCTCCCCAACATACCGCAGCACCTCCAACTGCCCTCTGAGACTCGCCCAGTGAGCGCATGTCCTGCCGTCAAAGTCCTTCTCCCTCAGTACCTCCTCCCCGCATGTCTCTACAGCATACCGCAGCACCTCCAACTGCCCTCCCTCACTCGCCCAGTGCGCGCATGTCTTGCCGTTATTGTCCTTCTCCCTCAGTACCTCCTCCCCGCATGTCTCCCCAACATACCGCAGCACCTCCAAGTTCCCTTCAGCACTCGCATACTGCGCGCATGTCTTGCCGTCTTCGTCCTTCTCCCTCAGCACCTCCTCCCCGCATGTCTCTGCAGCATACCGCACTACCTCCAAGTGCCCTCCCTCACTCGCCCAGTGCGCGCATGTCATGCCGTGCTTGTCCTTGTCCACCATCAAGGTCCTCAGAGTCTCTTTCCCGCATTCTTCCTCTACCGTCTTCAGCACCTCCACATGCCCATACTCCCCCGCCCAGTGTACCATCGTCTTCCCTTCTTCGTCCTTCGCTCCTACCTCTGCTCCTGCCTCTATCAGCTCCCTCATGCTCCCCGCCCTCCCCAGCATCCCCGCTACATGCAGCCCTGTCCTCCCGTCCTCCGTCCGCTCGTCCATGTCGTACCCGCCCGCCTTCAGCAGCCCGATCAGCTCCCCCTGTCCTCGTACCACCGCCGTCACTGTCGACGGCTCCCCGTGCTGGCCCGACCTTGACATCGACAAGCCGTACATCCCGCACAGCCTCTTGCTCTGCTCTCGTCTGCCGTCATCGCCTGCTGGAGTCCGCGAGCTGATCTCGTACATCAGACCCGCCATCGTCCTCCAGTACACTGACTGCATCCGCTCTCTCGTGAGGGCATGACATTTCCTGTCTCCTTGAGTGTCTTCGATCCAGTGCCTGAGCTTGTTGATCGCCATGTCCTTGACTCGGTTCGACAGCTCGATCGCCTCCTTGTATCTTGACTCCTCGTTGTACCAGCCCGACTCCCTCGCCCTGCTCGCCTCCACCAGCCCCCAGCACTCCTCCACGATCGACCCCACAAGACCCTGATGGAGCTTGAACCAAGAGTCAGCCGTTGCTGTCCTGAGCCGCTCCTGGATCCTCCCCTCCCACCCCCTCACGTCTCGCTCTACCTCCCTCGCCAGGTTCTCCATCAGCCCTACGTACAGCTGCTTCCTCTTCCCCACAAAGTCCTCGATCGACAAGCTCATCGTGTTCGCGTTGATCTTCAGCTCCAGCACCTTCACCTGCCTCCCCTCTACCTCCCTGTACCGCGGCGTCTTCACCACCTCCAGGTACGACAGCGGCGGATACAACATCTCCCCCTCCCCCGGATACTGAGACACAAACGTCAAGCTCGCCCCCCGGTCGATCGCCCCGCAGCTGATCTCGAACACGATCGACTCTCCCTCCTCCCCGGCGTACTGGATCGCCGTCCTGACGTCTGTCGTCGTGCTCAGCAGCCCGTACTCGACTCCTCCGGACACCCCGAGCTTGTCCTCGT